ACACAAACACTTCCACAAGATATTGGTCTTTTACATGCCTTTACATGACATCAAATTAGCTTTCCAATACTATTTTAAATATTCCTTTTCACCAAAAGGATAATAGAAAATCCCGCTCAAATATCAGTCTTACAGTTCCTCTTCAGTGTAGTTGGACATGCGCAGTATGTGTCACAAGGAGCAAAGAATTGACAACTTTAATACCAAATGGTGACAAGAAAACACCAATAATTTCTCATAGAATTTCTGTCATATGTAAACTACATAAAGGCAGATGGCTGGCTTGCCAATGGACTGCCTTGCTTGCATGCAATTGCAATTTTTAACCAAATCTACTCTTCCATAATGCCTGAAATGCTTGAAGAAAATGCAATGCTAACTTCTACAACACTAACAGTAATTCATGATCACATAGGTCTGAATAAAATTCAGGAATTCTGTCAATATTCCGTAAACTAACTGCTTTAATTTTTCACAATTATAAATACTTATGCTTACTAAATTCTTTGCTAGATAGGAAATTCTGTTAGAATAATAATTACATACTGGGTCTTCTTACTAAATTTCATTTGAATAATCTATTGGTTTAAAATATATTGGTCAAAATTTCTTTCACTGCTTTCAACAGAAGCTCAAATAAAATTTGAGCAAAATGCTTCTGCTGCTTCTTGAAAGTTTTGGTCTATATGTAATTGGAAACTTCTGGACAATCTCCATTATCTAAAAACATTTACACAGCGTCAACACAGGAAAGCTGGAAAAATTTTTTATAGAAAATTACAACAGGAAAAGCACCAAAATTCAAGAGGCAACATAATTTGAGCATTATTGTAACAGAGTACAGAATATCCAGGTCACTGTGATCCATGCAGAAAGTTCCAGAATTTATGATTAAATATGAAGGACCAGATACATTTTTACTTAAGACACCATTTGTTCACCTGGAGAAGGCTTCAAGGTGACCTCACAGCAGCCTTCCAGCAGCAAAAGGGGCCAACGAGAGCTGGAGAGGGACTTCTTAAATGGGCATGGACAGGACAAGGGGGAGTGGCTTTAAATTGAAAGAGGGTAGGTTTAGATTAGACAAGGGAAGAAATTCTTTACTGTGAGGGTGATGAAGCCCTGGCACAGGTTGCCCAGAGAAGATGTGGATGCCCCATCCCTGGAAATGCTCAAGGCCACATTGGATGGGGCTTTGGGCAACCTGGTCTGGTGGAAGGAGTCCCCACCCATGGCTGGGGGTTGGAACTCTTTAAGATTTTAAAGGTCCCTTCCAATTCAAACCCTTCTATGATTCTGTTTCCTTATTTGACACAGATACTGCCAAGTGCTCAGACACAAAATTTTTGCAGAAAGATCTGCACTTTCACTGGCAAGCATGCAACCTTGACTTCTCATTTACAACAGTTTGAATGAACCGCTTTAAATGAGATGCAGGGCTGCAAATGAACAGTGAATATGAACCTAAGTATTAAATGTCTGCTTCCTTTACTAAGTTCTGTCATTCCTGTTCAATCAATAAAGCACAGATCCCTTGGGAAAAAATAAAATGCAAATCTATAATTAAATAAATATATACAGCAGTGGGGGTTGGGGGGGAGAATAAAAATATTAATTTGGGCATTTACTAATTCCTTATTGCTTCATTTTACAGTTACAAATTAGTCATTGTCCTCCCACTCCTTACAGGAAGAGAATTCATTTCAAAATTGGAATGTGGAATAATTTTGAGTAGAAACAGGACATCTCACTGAGTAACTTCAATACTGAGAGACAGAAAACTCATGTACTGCTCTATTCCTATCCTTTCCTACACACACATATCAACCCTGTTTACAAGCCTCAGCAGATATATCAAGACTGAAATACCATATAAACTGCACATGCATCAATCCAACAGAATAATAAGATGCATCTATTCAGCAGAAGTTTCCACTCAGATTAAATGCTTTCATTCTCCTAGCCAATGAAATACTGGAGGTTTGTTAGTTTAATTGCAACATATCCCATTCACAAAATGAAACCGCAAAAAACCCCAAAGTTTCACTGAAGCAGCCTGGCAATCAAAGAGGTCATTCCTTTCAAATACCAAGCTTTCATCACCTTAAATTGCTGTGCTAGGAGCTATGCCAAAAATCTCAGCTACCTGAAAAGCAGCAATCCCCTCAGTCCATCCCTTGTTGTGGGCTTTTGTCTTTAATGGCTTAGCCACATTGTATAAAATTTTCAGGAAACGGGATTTGTTCCTTGCCCGGGCTCGCTGCTACCAAACTTCAGCTGAACTGACAAACTGAGCACATTTTAAGAATCTGAAATAATCCATGACAAAGCCTGAGTAGCTGTAGTACAGGTATGGCAACTTATTCTCTCTGAAAATGCAGTGCTTACAAAGTTCAGCATAAAGTTGAAAAGAAACAAAAAAATTTACTCTGGCTCATAATTAGAAATAATTTATTATTAAGAACAAAGCAAACTGATGTCTAATTGATCTGTCATCTGAGAACCTGGATTCAGTTTTGTGTACCAGAATGCTGCTACTGCTATAGAAATGCATTTTAAACTTTTCCTAAAAGGGCATGTGACTATTTTCTCTGGTTTTAGGAAGAATAAATATTTAAAAAAATATTTAAAAAGTGCTGGTCACACTGCTTTAAATATGTATTTCCTGACATGACATTCTGTTTCATGGTTGTGTCATGTCAGGAAATACATATTTAAAGCATTCTGTTTCATGGTTCCATTTTTAAACACCAAGTCATCTAAATAAGAATTTCCACACATTTTAGATTAACAGTAAGTAAAGAAGTTTAGAACAGGGACTTCAAGGCAAAATTATACATTTTAAACAAGTAAAACATAATGCAGCTGTTAAAAATATAACACAAGTTAATGATCTTAAAAGACACAAATTACTTCTGCTTTATGTGTCAGGAGATACCAGGACAAGCCTAAGCTAGTGAGAGGCACTAGTTAGAGAACAGATATGAAAAATTATTTCAGTAGTATTTTAAACTCTGATTCAAAAGCTCCTGAAAACTGTGATCGGTGAAAGAATTCAATCTACAGGTATAGGATTCCTCTTCTCTAGTTATTAACAAGTTCATGCAGCATTTTTATTTTTATTTGGAGAGCCTTTAAGTCCTAGTTCAGACTTTCTTATTCCTCTGTGAAAATGACAATACCTAGAGCTGCACTAAACACTTCTTGTCTTTTAAACTTAGTAGGGAAGATAGCTAACAGGCAAGCTAAAAAATCCTTATCCATGTGTAGCAACTTGCTTTTATACGTTTTTCAACAGAAGACTCCCTTATCTTTCCATCGAGTGCTACAATAAGCTGCTTTTGCTGAATGTTTCTAGCAGCCCATTGTACCCAGTGCACCAGAGCTGCGTGGCCTGAGGCCAGGAAGGAAGGTGTGGAACACGTCTTCACAGGTCAATTTCCACTCTCCAAGATTTCAAGTATTTGAGAGGAGGTCATGTTACAGCACAGATTTACATAGCAGACAAATTACATGACTGCCTGTTCTCAGCATTTCATAATTTCAATAGAAAAATTAGGTCAAATGAAAGGGGGAAGAATAACCCTATCCTTTCATGCTAGTCAGAAAATTAAACAAAAAACTTATTTAGCTGGGGTTCTTGCCAAAACCTTGGTAAAAATCTGCACTGGCAGTAAACACAAATTAAAAGTATAAGATTTACCATTCCTTTAGAAAATTTTTTTTTTGGTTTCTCCAAACGACCACAAACAAACCCCAAAATTTGCTCTATTCTTGTTTTAAAACACTGGTTTTGCTATTAGTCCAAAACACATATATTTTTACAAACTTGCACACTATGAAGGAATGAGCTAGTAACTTCAAAGGCTTTCCCCCACAGCCTGACAGTGTAGTAGGAGCGTTAAAAGAGGGAATTGCTCTATCATCTGTCCAGAAGAAAAGAATAATAATTTCAAATGGCCTCCCCCCCAACCCTCAGAGCATGAAATACACTGCACTTGAAAAATGGCAATATTGGCCAGCCTCAGCACTGCCTGAACTCTATGTTTATTCTAGACAGAGACTAAAATTACAGTGTTCATATTTGGCATTCTTTAACTAGAAATTCGCCTTTTTTTTTTTTTCAGAAAACAACACTATGATATTTTCAGGATAACTACAAAATTACTTGCCAAGAGCAGCTCAGGGTATCATAATGTGAAATGACAAATTTGAAGTGTTTAGGTATGTACCCATATAAGTGTATCTTAACTTAAAAGGTAAATAATTGCACACAAATGCCTATTAGTGTACAGTTAAAATATGCTAATCATTATCCTAGGTAGCTTTCAGGATTTGTTTCAACAGAGTCAAAGACTTGTAGGGTTTAGTCTGGCATTTTGTTGCTACTCTTACTGAGCAAGCAGAAAGAATAAACATTAACAAAGAAATTACTAGCTTCAATAAATTTAATTAGGCTTAACATTATTTCAGTTTCTAAAAATGCCAAATATGAAATCCAACTTACTTTCAGCAGTAAGAAAACTTTTAAGCTGCTGCATATTTAAGAAGGGTTGTAGTTTTAAGGAACTGCTGAACACATTTTTGAATACAGAGTCACTGTTAGCTGTTCACTAGGTTTTATGTACATTACATACATATTAAACATGTAAAAAAGAGGAAACATAACTTTTTGTGTAATCTGTGATTTTCCCCATTTACTAACACAAACTCCTCCCTTACTGAGGGAGGAATTTTACCGAAAGCTTCAGCTTAGCATCCCTGCAGCTGAAAATTCAGATGAAAAATATGGGAGCTTTTTTTCTCTGACACAAAAGGAACTTTTGGGAACATTTCCGAAGGACACCAGAAAGCTTGTCTAGCATACAATGGTTCCTACTCAGCAGAGCCCTCCAAACAAAGAGGAAAAGATGCACAACTGGTATTAATAACAAAACATCTCCTCCCTCTGTTAGTCAAGAGAGGACAGCTAAGGACAAATACAGTTTGAGGGTACTTACCTACTCGGAAGTTAGTGGCTGTCAGAGTGTCAGCAGCATGGCCGTTTTCACTGATGAGGGTGGTTGTATTTCCCTTCTCACAGTTGTTCTGACAGTTGCCTTTGGTACAAGTCACTTTACAGATGCTGGGTGTAAAGACCACCTTGATGCGACCAGTGTGATTTCCCACTGTCAGCGGAGGCAAAGAAAAAAAGAAAAATAAACAGATCACTTTGGTATCCATTGATTTCCTTTGAAAAGTTTTTGGGAAAAAAAAAAGGCGCAGAGGGGGAAGGCGACAGGTCTACAGGAGGAGGGCAGTCTGCAGTGCTCTCTCTCATAGATCTCCAGTGGTGTCTCTGAAACAGGAGTAGGAAGCTTAGCAAACAGAACTCCGGGATCTGCTCCAAAACCACATTTAAAGTCAAGTCACTGGAGTGGGATTAGTAATCACAATGCTGCACTTTATTCACAGGCAGACAAAGAGCAATACCAAGGGCATGACAGCTTAAATAGCCAACCCTGACAGGCAGATGTAATGTAAAGAGCTGGCTGTGCACCTAGAGGTGAATAAACTCTTGTGTACTCCTACATACTTTTCCTGTTTCTGCACTTATTAAGTCACTATTTGTAGCTCAACCCCTGGAAACGTTTTAGGCATGCGGCATGTCTGAAAACATCTGTCTCAAATCTCCTGGCACCCCAGCCTGAAGTGGTCAAAACTTGTGACGCAGCCGCCTCGACCCATTTTTTCTTCACAGTTTTTTGGCACTATTTTTCCACAAGAATTTACATATTATAGACTGAGCTCTACTGTCAGCCTTTGTTTTAGCAATAAATAGCTCAGAGAAAAGAGTGAGAAGAATCAGTGCTTTAAAGTACCGAGATCAAAGATTAAAAATGCCTGGATTCTGTTTTTTTATATATTTCCCTATAGTAATTTTAAAAAAACTTGAATGTAATAAAGACTGCACAAGGACTAATTTGCTATTAAGTTAGTTATAAGAATTTCTTGTTGCAGAATTATATGTAAAACCAGATGTATTTGATCCTACATATAACAGCTGAAGAAAAAAACTGTATTAAAACTACTTATTAGGAAAAATAGGGAAAATAATAGATTCCATTTAAAAAAAAACACATTTTGTCCTCTGCATACTACTAATAAATTCAGCAAGTTTTTCAAAATATATCATAGCATCTTTGTGGAAACTATTAACATGTACTTTCATATCAAACCTAAGAATGCCAAGAAATGATGCACAGAAAGAGAAGAATCTTCTTCCTGATGTCATAGAAATAAAAAAGTTGCTGGATAGTTGCCTAACATAGTTCATTAAATACCTTTCAGACAAACACTTTTTTGAAAATATCAAGAAAGTCTTACAATTTTGAAAGAATATACAGCCTCCTTATTTCTGGCTCTTCATAAACAAATAAATTTAAGCAATTTTGCAGATTGTTTTGTCTACAGTAAAGGCATTGGTCTATTCGAACAGCAGCTGTAGTGCAGATGCTCCCACCTTATTCTCCATAAACAATGCTTAGAAAAGGAAGAGCCCTGACAGATACAAGAATAAAAAATTTTGATAAAAGGCTAATATTGTGATTTAGAAGACATCTTGGATTCTAAGATGCCACACATTTCTTACAAAAATGAGTACACTTTAAACAGATATAAAAGGACCTATGAACTGCTGAGGGTAGAACTGAAGCTTTGGTTTTTTAAAGCATAGCTTCAAAAGCAAAATTGCCATATTTGTATTTTACTTGCATAGTTTTATAGATTCATTTTTTTTCTATAAAACAGTCCATTTTATGTATTATATTTTTAGACATTTTAGCAATACTTTTCCTTTAGGATGTGATCTAATTATAAAAACAGGGATAGTTGAGTCAGAAAAAGTCAGTCCTGCCTACACTGTAGAAACCAGAATTGGGGGACCCAGACAAGCTTTCTGGCTCAGCTGAAAAAAAAAAAAAGTAATTTGGCTTTGTCAGTGTTGGAAGGACAGAAAATGCAGAGTCAATATGACTGCAAACACTGAAACTGAATGGCCACATGGTTTGCATTGCTATGGCACTGGGAAGGAACATGGGGGAAAAGCAGAGGCCATGTGGGTCTGATTCTTCTACTTGACACCCAGAGATGTTTTGTACAAACCAAATACACCTCCTACAGAGAAATATTCTGTGCAATGTGTCCACAAAGTACAGAAGGCTTGACCATATTCCCACCACAGCCCCTGCCACAACCATGGTTAATGAGTTATAAGAAGTACTGCCATTTTCTGTCTAGCCAGGAGACGAGAATGTGACATGAAATTGTGCAGGGACAGACAGACAGGTTTGTTATCCTCACCTCCAGAGGGATACCTTTCAGTAAGTCTTGTCCCCTCAGCTCTGCTGACTTGGGACACAAAGCTCATGAAGACAATAGTGTTGTTAGTGCTAATAGACCTATTCTGCAGTTAATGCATTTGGCACCAGCAATCCAGAAGAAACATCCACATTCAATAAAATGTGATATTTGTGAACCCAAGCAGCTCTTTTGAATGTGACCCAACTTAATGTGCAATAGATTGTCTGCACACCCAGCGACAGCCCCATAGTTATGTTCCTGAAATAGTAAAGATGAAATTAAATCATCATTTAATTCTCCTTCACAGTATTCTGTACTATATTGTTGAGTGCTGAGCTACAGTAAGAACACTTGGGCATAGTGTCCACAACAACAAAAAATCTTAAAATAATTTTTATCATATAGTTTAGATTTTACCAGAAAATCCTGTAGCACAATTGTTCTAGTAAAAGAGATGCCTTTTTATGAGAGTCAACAGAAATTGTAGTATTTGCTTCTCAATGCTTTTGGATGAGAATATACTAGTATCTAAGTTTGGGAGTACTAGTAGTCAAAGAGTACTTTCAAAAACACAGATCAATATCTAGAGAGCTAAAGAGTAAAACAATGTTTAAATGTAGTTTTTCAAGAAGAAGTCTTAAAAACAACATGATGGAAGCCCTAGCTCCCTACAAATATTCAAATCATTATTCAGCAAAGCTTTTCATAGAATATCCTGAGTTAGAAGGTACTTACACAGAGTCCAATTCCTGGCCCTGCACAGGACCAACCATAGTCAAAGAGTACTTTCAAAAACACAGATCAATATCTAGAGAGCTAAAGAGTAAAACAATGTTTAAATGTAGTTTTTCAAGAAGAAGTCTTAAAAACAACATGATGGAAGCCCTAGCTCCCTACAAATATTCAAATCATTATTCAGCAAAGCTTTTCATAGAATATCCTGAGTTAGAAGTTACTTACACAGAGTCCAGTTCCTAGCCCTGCACAGGACCAACCCAAGAGTCACACCATGTGCCTGAGAGCTTTGTCCAAATGCTTCTTGAACTCTGTCAGCTGGTGCTGTGACCACATCCCTGGGGAGCTGTGCCAGTGCCCAACCACCCTCTGGGAGAAGAACCTAATTTAGTGCAATACAACCTAAACTGCTGTATTGTGCCAGTGCCCAACCACCCTCTGGGAGAAGAACCTTGTCCTAGTATCCAACCTAAGCTGCTGTATTGCACTAAATAGGTATTTAGTTATTTGCACTGGGTGTTTGGTAATTTTCACTGTCCTCACTTGTATCCCTTTGGCTGTTGCCCTCTTCCTCCACCCCACCTTCCCCTCAGCTCAAAATCACCCTGGGAGAAGGCCACTGTCTCTCTTCCACCTGGGAAGACACCTGGACAATTTGGTGTCTTCTATTAATAAACAGGACCTGGTCCTCAAGTGGAGAAGAGTGCTTCTTGTCTTTTGCTTTTTGTCCTATGTAAGATCATGTGAGCTAGGGTCCATAGCTAGTCAGATTGGACCTGAACAGCCCACCAGACACGAATTCTTACACTAAACCTCTCCTGACACAGCTTCAGACCATTGCCTAAGGTCTGTCACCACAGAGCAGAGATCAGAGCCTGCCCCTCCTGTTCCCCTCACAGGAAGCTGTAGCTGCTGTGAGGTCTCCCCTCAGTCTCCTCCAGGCTGAACAGAGCAAGTGACCTCAGCTGCTCCTCTTACGGCTGCTCCTCAAGGTCCTTCCTGTTTCATGGTCCTCTTTTGGACACTGTCCAATTACTTTAGAGGCTTCTTATAGCATAGCACCCAAAACTGCATTCAAGAGCACTGACCCTAAAATGTAGCCATGCAGACATCCAGTAATCACCAGCCTGATGTAACCCCATTTACTACAACCTTATGTGCTTGACCTGTCAGCTGGTTGGTGAACCATCACATTACGTTTATCTAGCTGTTTGCTAGTTATTTTGCTGTAAAGCAAATTCGCAGATATTCCAGTTTTGATAGTTGCAAAGAAAGAGAAATAAGACACCTTCATATTTTTTAGACATGGGAAGATTTCCTCCATCTTTCTTAGATTTATGAAGACTGTAAAAACACTTAGCTTGTTCTACCTCCCTAGCAGGCAACAGCTTTTAACTTCAATTCTTTTAAAGACATTTAAGATGGATACAAAGCTAATTACGGCCTCCGAGCTTAAAAACTAATCAGTGTTTGACGAGGTGATTCAAGAGAGAAATGTCTCTATCATTCTTTTCTGCAGTTGCAGAGAAGTAAGGAGTACTATCCTCACAGATTCTGAGGCTTCGGGACCTTAACACTGAGCTTAATACAGGCAGATCCAATTTGAAAAAAAGACCACAAGCCCGTCTCCTGAATGGAAGCTTTTAGCAGAAACTTCAAATTTAGACTCTTGGACTTCCTCGAATCTCTTCTGTATTCCCCCCACCCTGCTTTCTCCAAAGAGGAAAATTCAATTCTACATGAGAAACCGTCCTTCAATATTTGTTAGCTCATTTTGCAGTATTAATCTTAAATCCCACAATTTCATGCTAGGAAGGGACTGGTACTGCTACAGCCTTGACCTCTTTTGACTTTGGACTAGCTCATATTAAAGGACAGTGTATTTTTCAGGAAGCATACAGAGTATTTTCTTCAAACTCCAGAGCCTCTAATGATGATGCCATTGTGACATAGGCATGACAAAATCTGCAACCTAGATTACCTCAAATCCATTTTTGGAAAAAAAAATTGATTATGCTACAACAACACATCTGCAATAATTATATATATAGACAGATGTAAATCAAACTCTTCTAGACCAATTTTAAACATG